CACACACACACACACACACACACACACACTTTAGACTTGAAACTGAACTCTTTCTCTTCTCAAGAGACCGTTCAATACACCACTTGTCCAACTAAAGATACCGTCTTTTGAAAGGGAGTCTTGTTGCTTCATAAATAATATTGAAGTTTATTTAAGTCGTATATTGGTACAAGCTGGGACCTGTTTTACATTTATTTTTGCTTTCAAAAGCCAAGATACTGGCATCATGATGTAAATTGGAATGATATTGACATGAATGAGCTCATTAGTGCTCACACAGGGAGAGTGGTAATTAAATGGAAACTGTCCTATGTATTAGGTTGGCAACTAAGTCGTTGCCGATTTCAAATAAGAAGGCAACTTCGGAATTTTTGTTTAAAAATATAACTTTATTCAATTAGATATTGGCCGTTCTTGTCGATGACCTTTTTCCATCGTTCTGGCAGAGTAAAAATTCCCCCTTCGTAAAATGTCTGGTCTTTGCTATTAAAAAACTGAATTAGGTGTGATCCGACATCATCCGCGTTGTTACAAATTGTACCATTTAAAGAGTTTTGCATGGAACGAAACAAATGGTAATCCGAAGGCGCAAGGTCAGGGCTATATGGTGGGTGTGACAAAACATCCCAACCCAGTTCCAATAATTTTTGCCGAGTAACCAAAGATGTGTGCGGGGGCCTTGCGTTATCATGATGGAAAACAACACCCTTCCGATTTGAATAAAATGTGCCTTGAATCTATTAAATGCAGTACTAAGATCCTTACGATTAAATTTATGGCTTTAGCCATCATAGGCGATCTATCACATCTACCAAAATGAACATAGATCCGAACTCGAAACTTTCAACCATCTTTGGGGGATTCCACTAAAACCCGAATTCAGGTAATTGTATTGATTTTATTTTTTCAAAACATTCATTGTAGTGCACTCCTAGCATGCCTAATACAATAGGTCATTGAACTTTTTAATCAAATGAGAGATGCAAAATCTGCAATTGAAAGACTTGATGGAATACCAAAAATGTCACAACTACCTACTCCAGTCAGTTTTGGAAATTGCCCTCAAAACACTCGTGTCAGGTTGAGTGGTGGGAAAATGCAGTCCCGCCAATAAGACCCCTCCCCATGTAAGTGCGGTTGAAATCGATTCGAAACCTTCTAGGTTTCCAGCGAAAAGCATGTAAAAATGTATTCATATCAAGGTTTTTAATTGCATCGAACTGGAATCTTGACACTCAGCCATGACTTCGATTTTGAGCTAATTTAACTTCTACTAAATGAGATATATTATTAAAATGCACTTTTAAAGAACCTGCTAGGGAACTATTTTTGTGAAGACAGCATAATCTATGCCTGTATTGAAATACATGCACTTACAAACCGAGAATTACTCAAATTGGCAAGCTTATTACAACAGGCTTACGTCTTCATTGTTTCCATTAGAGCGAGAAGAGAGGTGTGGAAACTGTCAAGGAGAGTTGGTGACCTACCAAACCGCGAGGCCACTCCAACTTGTGATGTCCGATTATTTTGTTGGGCATTTGATGGAAGGAAAATGGATGCCACCCGCTCTTGGGTACTTCCACAAAGCATATCTAGAGCTTCCGGTCTTATTCTGTCACGGTTCTTTTCAACTAGACCGTCAGTCTAAATTGGGTAGGTGGAATTAAGATAATTTGTGTAAAATTTAAGAAAATTGTATGAAAATCATTCATTTTTAGATAATTCAAATACCTTTTATCATTTCTCATGCTAAGAAAGGAAGTTTGATCAATACTCTATTTCTGGGTAAAGGTTCCAACATCACGACTGCAAAGCCATATTAAGGCAACTGGGCTTTCATAAAAATTGAATCATCGTGAGTTCGAATGCTATCGACATTCTTATTATGGTCGTAGTGACACCTCCATAGCTGCCTGATTGTATGGCAGAACCAATGTAAACTACATCAGTGGCAAGCTGGTCTTCGAACATATACGGAACGTAAATACTTGTTCATCAAGTTCTCACTTGGATAAATTACGTATTCGAAGGAATTTTTTCCAAAAACGACCTCAGTGTTTTATTCGCGAATCAGATTTTGCAAACTTGCATAAATTACAACAGTACCTTTGGAGTTTGCGCAGCGTTGGTTTATAGCTTAATATTTAATATTATTATCACTGCTTTTAAGCCCCTTCGCCCCTTCGTCCCCTCCCCCCACCCCCACTCCACCACACTGAAATGTCCCTTCCTAATCCTCACAGGAAAGAGATATTTTTCCTGAAACTGTTGCTGCTCAACTTCCCAAAACGGATTAAAAAGAATGTTTCAAGCAGTAACTAAAATCTAAAGCACAATTGGATTTAACGATTAGCGTCCTGCCATTGAAAGAAAATTGGCATGAAATTTACCGAATAAGCGATTGTTCCAGCAAAATGAACTATCAGGAATTCAGATGAGCTTGAAATCTTGGGAACTCCGTAGTGAGGATTGCTTTTGTGGGTGGCATGACTTTTTTGGATGAAAGATTTGTCATTTCCCTGAAAAGAAAATAAATTATAATCATTAATGGAGTTCAGAATGAGATGCCATGACCGACTACAGACTTTAATTAAGCACTCAGTGAGTTCCAAAAGTTCTGAAAGATGTGGACTCAATGCAGAAATTCGCGAGCGTTAAGGCATGAATAAAGGGTTGGCAAACACAAAAATTCATAAAATAAAAAAAATGTTTAGTTAGTGTTCGCACAAAGATGGAAAACATCTGAGGGCCTCTTCTAGTTACGAGTGATGCTTTCCACCTCTTTGTCATCAGCATCTTCAGGTTATTTGAGGAGTTTACTTTTGATGGGAATTAGCTTTCAAGACAATTAGAAGACAATGGTTCTTTTTTCAGTAACCCTTATTTTCATTTAATTCCTGTTTCTTTACCGCATAATCAAAAAATTAATTTGATTGATGAAAGAACAGAGCTAGCGCCCGCAATTGATCGATTTCTAAAGACCCTCCAACTTGTATTTCCATAAGGTCAAATTGTTCAGAGCTCTAGCTAGATTTTCTATTAATCACATTTTTTCAAATTTCTCCATTAGATTCTCTTCGTTTATTTAAAACTGTTGGCGTTCTTGCACACCATGAATGATAATTTCTTTCAGCATTAAGGGGGTAATAACAAAATAGGCAATGAGATAATTGATTCCATACAATGAAAAATCAAATCGGTGTATTATTAATTTGCTTGTCTTTGATATGAATTCGAGAACAATATGCCGAGGAAGGTTGCGGATTTCGGCATAGCTTTAACGGAATTACTGCAAATCAACGAAACTACCAACACTACCGGCAGTATTCTCCAATTCTACCTTGAATTCTTATTCCTCGTGAACAGAATATGTAAATTAACACACACACACACACACATCGTCATCACAAATAGATTTGAAAGCACCAATAATTAAGTAATTTTTAGATATCTGACCATTATTGAAACTCTAAGAGCTCCTTTAAAGATATGTTGAAATTACCCCACGTTGTAATGTAATAAAGGATTAACAAAAAAGGAAGTAATTAAGTTTGTATAAACCATACTGTTAATTTCGCATAACACTTAGCTATATGTGAATCTGCCGACGAAATCTTGGCGCATCCACACATTCTTTTTTCACAGCTCAAGGGGTGACAGTTTGGTCATTTGACTCATCGCTAATTTGATTATCAGTGTGATGCAGCTACTGCTTTTTTTGTGTAGCTTCTGCCGATGATACCACCACGACCCTCCATCCATTTGTGAAAGCGTCTCTCTACCGCACTTATCGCGTGAGAATATTTAACAGGGTGCAAATAGTCACAATAACAAGCTTTATAAATATGCCAGTGCGAGAATTCCTGCAAAAAAATTTCTTTGGAGTCATTAGGCTAATTGCAATTTCCATTAAAGCATCTTTCCATGAAGCAACAACATACAATCTTGTGTAGAGGCACAAATGCCGAATCTCGTTAAAGTAGTCTTCTTAAACCTCTTCCAAGTTATTATCTCAATGCTCTTGCTATGCATTCGCTTCCCCGAGTAATGCTAGCCACCCCCCCCCTCCCATACACCC